GTGTCGTTGTTCCCTCACGCGCGGTCCACGGACCAAACACTGTCGTGACCAGCCGGTGCTTATTGATCCGATTGGCTGCTGAGTGGGTGGCCCAGCCCGAATGGAATTCATTCTTCAATGCTCTATCCTCTTTTTCCGATTTTTGCTCTTGAGTAGCATAGTGTTCACCCCCTGAAGTAATGACTTCTTACCCACTGAACCCTCCCGAAGCTATTAATCGGGAAACGACCTTCACGTTCGCCCAGTGTGCGGTGCGCACCACAAGGTGAGGCCCGGCGCAGCGCGTGCCGCCCGATGACGCGACAGCTTTCAGCAGCGGCCGAGGGATTGCCGCGGGACGTCTCACCCTCGCGCGGCTGCAATTCGTCGTGTCGTGTGTCTGGAGCAAGATATTTTCAATGGTCCATGATATTGCACATTATTGAACGGCAGCTGACGTAGTCGATATCTCCCATGGGGCTGCTCTCCCAAGTGTAAAGAATCCATTAGGTGAAAGTTTCGTTTTTAAGCTATGTGCGCGTTCATTACCTTAGCATTTGAAATATCTGAATTGCAGTAATTTGGGATCTTCTGCTTAGTTTGAAGTCTAAAAACTGATACCTAAGTCCTGCATGTGCTTCATCCATATGTGCGAGTCATTTATGAGCCATCATCTGCAGCTGTCTGTCTCTTTCTCGAAGATTCTTTTGTTGTAAGCAAACCAATTCCTTGCCACATTCGTACAGTTCATTATATTGAGCAGAAGGAAGGTTTTCCGTTTGCTCCCCATGTGGGAACAGAAGTTACTATGGATTTCCTTGGAGTTCTGCTTTTTTCGTTCTATTTCGAAGCACTTAATCATCAATCACTTCATTTTCTTTTTCATTGAAATTTCGATCAATTCCAGAAAAACGACTTTAGGACTTATCTCGCTCATATCAGTCCCCTAATCGGTTTCGGTAATCTTGATTGTAATCGTTTCCCGGTACCCATTTGGTAATATTGTGTTCCAATTATTCATCGTAGTGGAAACCTCTTTTTTTCCTTCTGCCCATTCTACATGGCTTTTTCCCGTTGATATTTCCGGAAACTTCTTTTTTCGTAGCTAATCCCATGGGAATTTCGTAAGCATTGAGCTTTCGTAATTACTTCAGCCTTATTCAGGCTTTCCAATAATCCTTCATTATTTTCCACCTCTCTTTTCGCTTCAAAAACGTTCTTCAACATTTTTAGAAGTGTGAATTATTCTGGGAATCTGTGCATTCTTTCCATTTTCCTCTTGAATCATTAATGTTTCTTCCTTAACGAAATCTGTTCCAAATTCTATTACGAACTCGGAGAACGTGCTTTGAATTAGTGAAAACTGCCCAACGACTGCCTGTTTGGGGGTTATCCCTTTCAATACAAGTTAAGGAACTGTTTTCCCAGAGTTTTTACAGGAGAGTAGAGGCGGAGATGGAAAATCGATTGTGAAAAATCTATCAATGTGCGGGAATTTCCTAATTTCGAAATCAAAGTCCTTTTATATTGACAAACATGTTATTTCTGCTCTGCTGCCTACGCTAATTCTCTGAGAGGACTTCTGGTTTATGCAAATATCACTCGGATCGTTTGGCTTACGCCAGGCTCACTCCTCTCTATGACACGATGTCGGGACTCCCAACTAAACCTGGTCACTTCCTCCTCTATGTGCGATTCGTTCCATATTTCTGGTTGGAAAAGTTTCATTGATGGCGTTTTCTGGAAGTGAATTATTAAAGGGGTCAATTATCTCTTGACCCCTTTAACAGATTTTATCATTTGTTATCACTTTCTGTTTGCGAACATTTGTTATGACGTCATAGCCCACTCAAGATTTTCAAGTACCGAGAGGTTCGAATGTTGATTCAAGGACGTGACAGATCCGATAGTTCTTACTTTGTCACCTTAGCAACCATAACCATACGTTATCATTTCCTGTCTCCATTTATCAGTGCCCTCAATTCCTCATCTGTATCCCATCTAAATTTCCAACGTTGTGGCTTCAAAGCGAATGAATCTACGACTTCCAGTCATACGCCCAAACATACCGATAAAAAGGCCCACCCAATTGTTTATAGTGGATTGGGAAGCCAACCATGGAATTAGCTAGAATGGGAGCTCTCTGACATACGAATTGCGAGCTGCTACGGATTGGTTCAAATTTACTAAAGGTTAGACATGAGCAGATTTACTTATCCGGTGAACCACAATGCCCCTTATTGGCTAGATCACTGGGTAAGGGATTCCAGATTTGCGGATTCTGTTTGTCTGATGTTCTAGGTGAATGTCAG